GTCCCTACTCAGTACACAAAGATTCTTCGTGATCTGTACAAAAATTCCACAACCGAGGTATCACCATTCTACAACGTTATTAACATTGACGTCAAAAGAGGAGAGAGGTAAAGCGATACCATCTCGCCAAAATTATTTACCGCCACCCTCCAGAGCGTCATGCCAACATTGGAATAGGATAATATGGGAGTGGAAATCGATGGTCGAAAGTTGCACCATCCTCGCTTTGCTGATGACATCGTTCTTATAACAACAAACATTAGCCAAGCGAAACGTATGCTTGCGGACTTTGATAGCGCCTGTGGAAAGATTGGTCTTCGACTAAATCTCACAAAAACTATGTTATTGAGGAACGGATATGTTTCGTATGCCCATTCACGCTCAACGGAAAGAATGTCTCCGAATGCTCCAGTTATGTCTATCTAGGCTGTGAAATCAACATGATGAAGGACCTAGCTGCTGAGCAGAAGAAAACGAGCGGCTTGGAAAGCTTTCAAAAGCATCGAGGATGTAGTGAAGAGGACAGAAAACACCCGACTCTCTACCCACCTTTTCGACTGAACGGTGCTTCCTGCCCTAACGTATGCGTCAGAAACCTGGTCACTGAATAAGCAGGAAAAAATATCACTCAGCGTTATCGAAAGAGCAGTTGAAAGGACGATGATTGGAGAATCCTGTTTCACACAAGTAATGGATGGGATCCGAATCTCCGACCTGCGTCAGCGATCAGAAATCAAAGATGTCGTTCTTTACGCCAAACAGTCGGTGATGTGGTGGGCGGGACACGCAATGCGTATAAATGGCAACCGATGGGCAAGAGCCGTCAGTGATTGGATTCCTCGGGATGTCAAACGTACTGCAGGAAGACCACCGACCCAATGGTCAGAGTTTTTCACGAAGATCCTAAAAAAAGATGTGATGCTCGTCGAGTCCCTAGAGCGAGCAGAATCCACCAGACTACTCTTGTACGCGACAAGGAAAAATGGAAGATTTATTGGCCTCCGCTCGAGTCACACTACGATCAACGGGACTGCGGGTAATACGAGTGATTCAGGTTGTGCAAGCTGGTTTCTATACGGTACTGAAACCTCGAAACAGAATTTTTCCTTGGGATTTCCTAAAACTGTATATCACCAGACGATCTGCAATCAAAAGCTCACATAAATCTTTGTCCTAACTGGAGTATTTTTGTAATATTTTCACCTCATTGGTAGTCAGAACAAGGCATGGGTGTAGTGCAATTGTTTGAGACATTTTGCCAAAAGCATGCCGCCATCTGTTCAATTCCGTGCACAGAGAAAATTGAGCCTTCCATCACTTCAAGATCGGAAAAGTGGTTCAAGAATTCTTTTGGAATACAGAGGACGCGGACTTGTCGGTAGGTTTCCCGCATTGTATAGGTCAGATGTGCATTAAGTCATCACTAATGAGCTATTAATGGTGCCGTATGCATTGCACATTCCTACGCGACAAATAAAGTCTGACTGATTTTTGCTTTTAAAATTATATTAGTGCAGTATGGTTTCGTTCTCAAATACCAGTGAGGCCATAATTCGTTTTTATAATAGCCTACTGATCTCTCGAAGAACACGAGGAATATCACAGAACATTCCGTACACCGCCTATCACACTATTCCAACTGTTTTTGCCAGTGGAGCACCAGGAAACCGTTTGTGTCATGTGGTTTCTGGATTTATTCACAGCTGGCTCACTATTAAGCTGCTTTGATGTGCAGGTGAGGTGTGTTTATTGAAGGAACAACAAGAACGACATCGAAAAATTTCGCTATTCGTCCACGTAATAGTGCACTATATATTAAAAACTTTAAAAAAACTCAGATAAGGATGATCTAAGGAGCCCTTTTCGCAGGTAAGTAGCATATTTTATATGTCTGAATACTAATGAAAGTAACAGAGTGTAATGAACGTCATTTGCCACAACGTCTTCCGTATAGCTACTATCACGCGATCTTGATCATGCTTCAAAAATTTTTCCTTAATAAAATGATTTCAGAAACTTCAAGTTTCAATTGTTATAATTTTCCTTCGCTGAAAAGAAAAATTGCTCGTCTATATGTTGCCGCCTTTCTTCTTTTCGGTGTTAACTCCTGACTTCTAAAAACAGTTATGCATTGAATGACGCGTTGCCATAGTTGCAGGAGCAAGCCGACGAGCTATGTTCAGGCTATTCAGTAGTAATGTAATTGTTTTGCAAGTGACCAATATCTATTCCTTCATTATGACTCAATTCTGTGGTAAGTTTTAAGCCTTTGCGTTTCAATATTTTAGAAAAACTTTCGATAAAGTGCTTAGCTTTCTCATCATGGATTGTTCCTTTGTCTTTTAGCGTATTGACGTCATGGCAGATGACGGCCTAAGCGATCTCTTGGGGGTAAGCTCGAAACCTTCAACCCATTGTTTATGTACTAATATTATTAAGTTAGAAATAAAAAAATGAAAGCAAAATCTTATTTTGTAAAAGACTCGAATATTTTGATGACCAGAAGCTGTTCTTATCCATATCCATGTTCTTTCTTATCCAGAAACGAAGAATTTACGTTTTTCTAAACACGAATTGCAAAAGTAACTCCATTTTTTAGAAATATTCTAATAAAACTTGCGTTGCAAAAAAAGTGTATTGTAGCATTTAATGAGTTATACATGAAAGTGTATGTTCATACGTAAATAGTATAGAAAATATATAGTATGATATAAAAGATAAAATAAAAATAAAGGAGAAAGCTTTCCGTGATGATCAATTCCTTAAGGATGCGGCATGCATTCGACTTCATTAAGCATTGTTTGGAGGTGATTGAATGCATATCTGGCCTTTACAATGATTCGCGGTGAGTATCGATGTATCGAGCCAGTGCTGCTATTCTCCCAGACAAGCCTGGTACCAATTTGCCGATTACGGAGGGATGGAAGTGTTGGTGGACCATGGGCGCGGTGATCGATTCCACGTGTGTATGGCGGTGGCGCCTCCGACCACTGCTCCACAGACGCCCTTACAGTATGATATATAAAACATAAAGTGCGGACTAAAACACACGAAGTCAAATGACGCCCAGAATAAGTTAAAAGTAATGTGCTGAAGTACAAAAAATGTTATATAAAGTAGCATTTCTTGCTGACACTTATAATTGGTGTTGAAGTCCTTTATTCTTTCTTTTTTTTCAAGAATATTTAACGACTACAACTTGTCTATACGAACAAGATCAGTGGCAAAAGATATTGAAGTTATATTTACAACACTTTTGATTTTTAAGTTTATATGCTTTGATATCATATACGTTACACGGATCCCAGTACTCGTTTCATTCGCTTTGTTTCTCCGCTTCCACAATCCAGGAAGATGTCTGGATTCGCGATTGGATCCAGCTGCTGCTTGGAAATTTTGGTATTCCTCACTTATGCCGTTAAATTTCGTCTCTATAGAAGTCTGATACCGATTTCCTGATCTCAAGGGGTGTCTCCCTTGGCTTAGTGTGCGGACAAACCAGAGCCTTATGCGTATCGAGCGGCTTTGATAATACTGCGCCACCAACTGCCGTCAAATTTAGAAAAGATATGAAAGCGCCATTAGGACGTAGCCAGCAGTTCAGCAGCCTTCTTTATTGAAGATAAAGTCACCACTGGTTATTATTTGCGCTCTTGTTAAATGTGTCGTCAATGTGATTTTATGTATTGGGAATAGTTCGAGTCCTACCTTAAGGGAACGGAAAATTTGACAAATACTTCCTTTGATAAATTCGATTGTTAGATTATCTATGGAAAGACTATTTTTGTAAACATATCTATTGACGTATCAAACAACCATTAACCTGGATAGAAGTTAAAATTATTGATATGTTTTAGTAGTTGCTAATGGAAATTAGGTCTTCGAGACAGTTTTCGGCACCATTATGATCACTAGCTTTGAGTAGGATGCTCATCTTCGTAGAAGTTGCCACGCGGGACTTTTTCGTAATTGACGCAAAGCAATACCTCAAACTTGGGTGATTAAACCGTTTATAACAATAATAATTCAACAATAACGAACTATAAACATTGGTACAATACAGACTGCAATATAGCATCATGATCAATAAGTGAGGGTAAGGGAGGTTAGTATCATTGCTATAGGCCAGTGAAACAGTGCCATGTGCATTTAAAATAAGCCAATAGTGTAACGAGATTTAGGCACATTAAAGGGCTTATATAAGACCGTAATACCTGACTCACAAGCAGCAATACTACAAGGTTACGCACAATATGTAAGCTTGTAATGTCGTTCTGATGAGGTTAACAAGTTTAGGGCTACATGTAAGCCTGTGATGACATTGCGATGGGGTTATGTGTTAACTTGTAAGCACATTGCGATTAGGTTAACGTTTTAGAGAATACATGTAAGCGTATGAGTATACTGCGATGAGGTTAATGTGAGCACACAATAGAGTTAGCGTGTTTAGAGATGCATAACAGCAAAGCTAATATACAACAGTGACCACATACAATAAGAGAGAACACCTTGGATTAGCTACATGGCGCATAACACATGATGAACAAGGGGCGAATACGATATTCACTCACGCAGCTATTTAAATGACTTTTGGAGGAGGCGGTGCTTTGACACAGATCCAGAACTTTTACGAAAACATTCGTCGACTTCCACATCAAGGTCCCTCGTGATCAGATCAGATAACTGAGGACGATTTCCCAGACAACCTCATACCCTTTGTGTTATCGTACTTGTGATGGTTTGGAACAGAAACAGCACACAAAAAGTTCCGTTTGCATAAAAAGAGTGTGGATAACATAGGGCGTTTACGACAAGCAATGTTTCTCTCAATGAAGTGAAAACGTTTACATGCTAGAAGATCGCAAAGCGAAGTGAGGAACCACAAATGTGGTTACCACAGACTTACGATATGATGAAAGAATAGTAACTGCTATGGCATTGGTTGCTACATTTGTTGTTTGGTCCTTCGAAAAGAAAAACCCAACTTGTTATCGCAGGATATGGATGAACTCGATAATGCATTGTTCGGACGATCAACTGGATCAAAACCGAAACCGTCCTTAGGAAATATCGACTCGCTCTTAGGAGAGACCAAAAAAGTACGTTTTTTTTAACCTTTATTGGTTGTATTTTATTGTTAGTTCTTTTCTTCTAAGTGTCTACGTGGTTTCCAGGTTTTTTTTATCGTGAAAGTAATTGTTTAGCTGGTTACAAGGAAGCCAACAGTGTCTTTCTTGGATACGCCTGCCACTTCATCCATAGCGTCAGACCTACATGTGAGAGTGGGAGGTGTTCTAACTTCAACAATAAAAAATGAAAGAGATAAATAAGGAAGCTTGTAAAAGTTATATGGAACCACAGAAATCTCTTTTGAATAAAAGGATGATGGGTAAAAGCTTTGGTTTTGAACAATCCTTAAGGGACATGCAACGCATTCGACCTCACTGAGTATCGTTGAGGTGATTAAATACGTACCTGCGCTCTACATTGACTTACGGTTGGTCACTAACGTATCAGCTCAGTGCTGCTATCCACACTGAACACTGAACAGTATGTTACAAATTTGCCGACCTCTTAGGGATAGGAGGGTTGGTGAGTCCGAGGCGCCAGATAGAACTAATGGCCAAGTGTCTATTGAATTCTCAACCAATGCTGCTATCCTCCCAGAACGGTCTCTTACAAATTTAATCCGACCCCAGTGGGACTGAGGATTTGGCGAGCCCTAGAACCATGGTCTAACTAATGGCCATGTGTTTCTTGAATGACACCTCTTATCACTAGGCCACATTCAGCCGCGCCTTAGCACACTTATAACCTATGCTGCAAAGTTCTCTTCGGAAAGCTCACGCTTTTATCTCTGCTACCCCACATTTGGATGTGCATGGAGCAGTAGCTAGAGGTATTCCGTAGTACACGAGATCAATGATTCAATTTAGCGTCTTAGATAGACCAATGCCGAACGCATTATCCTTCAGCCCTACTAATTTACGTGAGCACGGAACCTCGCTGAAAAGAAATCTTTACTAGTGTCTTCTATAATCTCAAGCTTCTTCGCTCTTCTCTGCAAAACTTTATTTTATTGAAATTTTTTCACCCTGGACAACAGTAAGGCCTTCAAAACCTTATAGCGATATCATTATTTTTCGAAATTCACGTTTCCTGCTCATGGGATACTATGATTCGTAAAGGAGTGACAGATTTTACTCTTATAAATGAATATCAGTGGCCTATATGGTACCTCCTTGCCCTGCTTAGCTTTTTACATACCTAACAGTTGTCGCTATTTGAAAATGTTTACTAGGAATAATATTTTAACTTTATGACCATTTGCTGACGATCACCTCCTAAAATTCCTCCACCACTTTCGGAACTCTCGTAAGTTAATGACTTGGCGTTTATCTTTCCAAACTATTATCATTGCACGAGAAACCCTATGTTCAAACTATTGGTGAAAATACACTTTATATTCACTTTTAAATAGTATACGCTTTGAAGCACTTTTAGAAGATCTCTATATCACGTTTTCAATGACATTTTAAAAAATCGAAATATCTAGGCTCCAACTAAAAGTACCCTGGACGATCTCTTCACTGACACAACCAGTGAACAAAAGCCTGCTCCCACATCGTCCTCACCTGCAACTACTATGTTTGGAAAATTTCTATTAATACCATTCTAATATAAAGTCCTCGGCTATGTTCACGGTGTTTTTAGCCAACGACCTTCTCGTCATGTAGTCGGAACCACTACATTAGGAAGCCTTCTTGGACCACCACGAACTGAAAAGGAGCCGAAACCTTCTACTGCCTCAACTATAGCACCAGTTCCGGCTGCTACGCCACCTCCTCAATCCATTAGCTCATTCTCAGAAGATAGCTTGCGAACAAAAAGGTAATATACAGTAAAATTTTCTCAGTTTTCTCCTCGGTAAACTCATTCCTGTTCTCTGTGTGTTAACCTAATACTCACATGGGTGGCGTAGTGCCTTTGGATTACAAACTGTTATGTGCAGCCGAGTTTTATTTCTCAGGCAAGGCTGCCGAATTCGAGAAGGAGCTCGACGTTTCCACTCGGAAGCGTGGTTAAGCACAAATTTTTACAAGAAATGTGCTGCCAGACATTAATCTAGTTAGTGGGCGACATTCTTCTTTCTGACATGCGTGCAATGGCGAACTCGAAAAACTTTGAGGTGGTCGTTTCAACATTTAAACGAAAAAATCATTCCCTTTCCAAATAAATAGCAAGTAAATGCTTTGTCATGAGAAAGCTAGTGGAATTCTAATGTTAAAAGAACACGACGAGAGAAAGGCACAGCAAAGACCTCAATTGGCGTGGTGAATGCCCGGTAAGAGTAAACGCGGGTTCGAAGCCCCTCTGAGGTTGCGAATTTTCCTCAGGTCTCAGCATTCTCATGGTTAAAAGCTTTTAACCTTTCCTTATATTAATAACAATTTGACGCATCAAAGTTACCCTAATACATATTAGGTGCACAAAAGAGATTTTTAGATTAGAAAATGAAGTTGAACGATTGAATCGAGAAATCGATGAATTAAAAATCCGAAAGAGGGAAGATGAGCAGGATATTGAAAGACTTTGGAAAGATAAACTGTCTAAAAGAAACCTGGATCATCAACAAGACCTCAATGATATTAGGACGAATCACGAGTGAGTTATGGTTAAATGCACTCTTTTTCAAATCAGTTTTCCTTAAGAGACTTCTTTTTTTTAATAAAAGGAAGCACATCTCAAAACTGGAACAAGAGCATTCTGAGGAGTTGCAAAGACTAAAGACTACATATCAACGACAGCTGGACACCATACAGCAATCGGCTATGCAATGGAAGTAAGAATGACAGCCTTAAACTTGAAAACTAACAATAAATTGTCAAAGAAGTAAAGATGATAAATTTAAACTGGGAAATTGTGAAGAAATTCTCAAAAAATTTTTCCTTAAAAGTATTGTTCGCGACACTACAACAATTAAACTGCAGTAGTTTTGAGTAGTAGTGATGGTTAGTGAACATTCTGTTTCTGGACAATCCTTAAAAACTTCCTCTTGTGTGCTTGATGTGATGGCATTTATAAAAGAAGGAAAATTCTTTAAAAGTCTTATTCCTTTAAACTAGATTAAATTGTTTGATGTGAGCAAACAAGGAAAAGGATTTTTTCAAGAGATGTTAGTACGGTGGTGGACAAGGTTGACATGCTTTCATCTACCATACATCAGTTAACAGACAATGTGACTACTGTAGCAGATCATTCATTGACAGAAAAGGAGAACGCATTACGAATTCGAGAACAACAGCTGGAGAATAGAGAGCAAAGGTGACGGTTAATAGATAATTGATGAAATTTCTTACCGTAATTGTAAAATGCACTTTTCGCATAGGCCAAACATAGTAAAAGACTGCATGTTAAGGTTAATCGAGGAGAAGAATCAATTCAACGATGAGCGCAAGAAAGTTCACGAGTTAAATTCGAAGTTAAACGAACTATGCAAAGGTCAAGAGACGGCAATGGAACAGGTGATTCATACGAAAATTTGAACGATGTCGATAAAACTCTTTTAATACGGAAAAAGTGGTGGTATTAGAAACAATAAAACTATAAACTTTTGAACAATGAAAACTGATTAAATGTTTAAAGACTAAGGGAACTCCAGGAAAAATACCGCGTACGAGAAGAGTGGAATCGCTTGAATGCCGAGAAGTTAGTATTCAAAGAAGATCAAAGATTCATTTTGGATAGCATAGAAAAGCAGAAGATGGTACTGGAGAAATCGAAGGTATTCACTGAAACGATTTTTTTTCGTTAAATTCAACGAAGACTGTTCCGCTTATCCTGATCGGATCTAGTGCTTCGTCCAAGAGCCAATGCATAACTATAATACGGTAGTAATAAGAAGCTTTACATTACCATTAATTGATAATGCATAATGCATTCACATAGCAATACTGGACTTCGGAATTATACACAGATCAAAAGCATTTATGTCCTTGACGCGGAACAGAGAAAAACCCTATTCCTGGAATCCATGATTTCGCAGTTCCATATTTGATTCGTGTAGTGAATAAGCTAGTACTAATAGCCACTCAAATAATTGTCCATGTTTCTATCTGGCCTTCAGTTACATCGTGAGCATTTATTAGTGTGCACTACGCGTTATCCTGAGTCCTAACACACACTGAAATTTTAGATAGCAAACTGCATATTGGTTAGAGGCTGCCATGCAAATCAAACGTTATTGTTGTTTCGACATTCCACCCTGGTCTAACCAAGCCCTTTTATATCACCTGTATCATCTGTAGTCCCGTTGAACGTCGAGTAACTTGAGCGGGCGCCAGTAAATCTTCCATTTTTCCCTGTCGCGTACAAGAGTAGCCAGTGCGCTCTGCTCACTATAGGGACTCGTCGAGCAACATATCTTTTTTTCAAGGCTCTTGTGAAGAACTCTAGCCATCGGGTCGGTGGTCTTCCTGCAGTACGTTTGACATTCCGAGAAATCTAGTCTTTAACGGATCTTGCCCATCGGTTGTCATTCATACGCATTGCGTGTCCGGCCCACACTACCTTCGACTGTTTGGCCTACAGAACGGTATCTTTGATTTCTGACCGTTGACGCAGGTCGGAGCTTCGGATCCCATCCCTTGCTTGCGCGAAACGGGATTCTCGTAGCATCGTCCTTTCAACTACGCGCTCGATAACTCTGAGTGATCTTTCATCCTGCTTTTTCAGCGACCAGGTTTCTGACGCATGCGTTAGGGCAAGAAGTACCGTAGAGTCGAAAAGGGTGGGTACGGAGTCGGGTGTTCTTTGTCCTCTTCACTACATGCTCGATGCTCTTGAAAGCTCCCCAAGCCGCTCGTTTTCTGCTCGACTCTGGAGCTAGGTCGTTCATGATATTGAATTCCCGACCTAGATAGATATAACTGGAGCATTCGTAGACATTCGTTCCGTTGAGCGTGAATGGGGTAAACGAAATCAATCCGTTCTTCATGAACATCGTTTTTGTGAGATCTAGCCGAAGACCAATCTTTTCACAAGCTTTATCAAAGTCCTTCGGCAAACGTTCCGTTTGGTTAATGTTTGGTGTTATAAGGATGACGACATCAGCAAAGCGAAGATGGTGTAACTTCAGACCATCGATTTTCACTCCCACATTATCCCATTCCAATGTTCTCATGACGTTCTGGAGGTTGGTGATAAGTATTTTTAGCGAGATGTCTTCGGCTTTCCTAACTCCTCTTTTGACGTCATTGTTAAAAACGTTGTAGAATGGTAATACCTCGGTTGTGGAATTTTTGTACAGCTCGCGAAGAATCTTTATGTACTGAGTAGGGACTCCTTGACTATCAAGGGCTTCCATGACTGCTTCTATCTCACCTGAATCAAAGGTCATGGGCAAATACGAAAGTGAGACAGAGCGGTCCTTTGCTCTCGCGCGATACTTCAATGAGCCTTGTTACCATGTGAATGTGGTCCATCGTACTAAAACCTTTTCGAAACCCTGTTTGTTCAGGGTGTCCTTCGTCTAGTGTTCTGTCAATCGTTTAGGATGACTCGAGTGAAAAGTTTGCACACAACAGACAGTAAGCAGATTGGGAGATAGTTGCTGATATCGCGAAGATCACCCTTCTTGAACAATAACACGGTCTTACTTCCGCTGAGTAGGACCCTTGCATTCAGGCGAGTAACGTGTGAAGAGCCGATCCATTGTGTTTACGAGGACAGGCGGAAGCTTCTTCAGGTGTTCTGGTTTTATCCTGCCCAGACCTCGTGCTGTTCGATTGCTCACTGGCGAAATGGCATGTCGGATTTCGGAAGGGAGAACCGGTGGTACAACACATCCATTCTCCTTTATTTCATATGACGGAAGGTGGACGTGGCCATCGAAGAGATCTGAGTAGCATTCGTGAATGACTTTCTCCATTGCCTTTCTGGACGCTGTAACTGTCCCGTCTGGGCGTCGGACTGTAATTATCTTGGTCTTGTAATTGGGGAAGCCTCGGTGGGCTTTGTGAATGCTTTTCCCAGTCTCTGCAGCTTCGACCTTTACTGCTGCTCTTCTCGCTTTAAGATCTTCTTTTATCGCCTCACTGCACTCTTTTGCAAGTTCGGTCGTTAGTTCGCGGTTGCCTGCAGCTCGTTCGATTCTACATTGGCGTATCTGCTCAAGTGTTCCTGGAGAAGACGTCTCTTAGTGAGTTTCGAACTCTCTGATTTCATAGCGCTAACGTGAGGATGTTGAATGAGCCGATCGTATTCTTTGTCTATGTTATCGACAAGGGAAGATTCCCAACAGCGAACTGGTGTATTGAGGGAACCCCAGTTTACAGTGCTTCTGCGACTTCGGTTTCTGAATTTAGCGGCTTTTTCTCCATTCTGCGAGAAATAGAATCTTGCACGANAGTTTACAGTGCTTCTGCGACTTCGGTTTCTGAATTTAGCGGCTTTTTCTCCATTCTGCGAGAAATAGAATCTTGCACGAGGAAGGCGATGGTCTGATCCTGTGTAAAATTTTGAAACAACAGCAACATAGGTAGGGCAAAACCTTCTATTTACTATGATGTGCTCTATTTCATTATGGTACTCTCCATTGGGAGGCGCCCTCGCCCAGCGCTGAGGGTGAGGCTTTTGGAATTGCGAATTACCATGGACTGTCTTGGTCTCTATGATAAACTCAGACAGCCGCTCAGCTGTTCGTTCCATTCTAATCCGTGGGTCCTAGTGTGACGTTCTTGAGACGCTCTTCTTAGTGCAATCTTGGCATTGGAATCTCCAATGATGGCCTTGAAGAACGTTTGGTCTCCTCTGTAGAACTTCCTCAAATCCATACAGAACGCTTCGACTTCTTCTTCGTCATAGTTTGATGTCGGCGCGTAAACGACGAAGATTGTCAAAGCCGGTAGTGATCCACATCTTTTTAATCGTAAACGTGCGATTCGGGTTGTATGTTCGAGTGATTCGATGTTCATGGACAAACTCTTGTTGGGGAGAACGCCGATGCCGCCGACTCCTCTAACGTCGCCTGTTCCGAGAAACAGTTTTTCTCCAGTGTCTTAGACGGCGTTGAGTGGGTGGCGTCGTCTCGCCTTGGCCAGGTCGATGACGTCGTATCTTATTCTTCTTTCTTACATGATCATGTCTTTTATCGAGGACTCGGATGCAAGTTTTCGTGCATTGTAGGTAGAGATCGTCACCATAGTTCGTTGAAATCCAGGCAGCTTCCATTGGTCCTGAGATTTTAGCAGCCTCTCCGTACTAGTCCTACCCAACGCTGCAAAATTGGGGCTCTTTCGGGGTCAGGGGAATGAGGCCCGCTTTTTTTTACTGTGTTTAGCATTTTTGATACCTGCGTATAGCTTGCTGGGCTGTGAACGTGAGTGGCTTGGTATACCCACGGGTAGCTCGCCGGGCTCTCCCAGAGTGGAGCTTGTTTGCTGTTGTCGACTCCTTACCGCCTTCCACATACTTCCAAGTCAGTTGATTGAAGGCTTTTGGCCGAATTGACTCGTAGAATACAATCCTCATGGGCAAGAACGCACCTACACACGCTTGCATGAATGCGATTAGCAAATACAGAAAGTATGTGCCAAATCTGAATGGATTCTATTATAGAGTTGTGAACCACTGCTCAAATAAATTCTACACTGTGTCAAATGATGCATCATCAACCCTCATCGTCTCCAGGTGCCTATCGAGTGTTCACTGGGAAGCTGCGCTCCGAATTTTTTTACCGTGTGAAGTTTGCATTTTTTCTGTATGGTACAACACAAATGTTCAGTGGAATCCGTTCTGCTTTCGTTGTCCTGGGTAACTCAATGAATTCTGTCGCGAAATATTGTGTGCACTCACGAAAATCTTCGTAAGCTCCTGTGGATTTCATGCGGGATGACTTTATCGGAGATGAATGCGTCGTGTTCTTGTTCACCCATCGCGAGGTTTCTAAACAGCATACATTTACTTCCATTGAAAAACACAATACAATACAACGCTAACTGACGTTTCGGCAGTATCGCCTTCTTCAGAGCTGCTTTTTCGGGACTTCCAATGAGGAAGTTTAGAACAGCCGACTATAGTCGCACGTGGTTGACTACTCACGAAAGTCACGTTGGAAGTCACGGAAAAGCGGCTCTAAAGAAGGCGATACTGCCGAAACTTCGGCTAGCGTTGTATTGTATTGTTTTTCTATGGAAGTAAATGTATGCTGTTTAAAAACCTCGCGATTGCTGAACAAGAAAACGACGCATTCATATTCCAATGCCGAGGTTAATAGAAAGTCGATCCTGGGAATTATCGGAGATGACTATAAATCGTTCCTACGTATTTCATAGTCATTTGATTATAGGCTACTTCCTGTCCGTTACACAAGATGATGCAACTGGCACACGTGTGAATGACTAAACTAAAGCAGCACATTTACACGAATATGATGACGTGTACAATGAATCCGTAAGTCGAAATCTATCGTGGAAACACTGGCATTGAATCCTGTCATCCAAATACATTTGAAACTCGGGGCATGTGTGGGATGGTTTTTCAGCCAGCGTTTAATCATCTACCTATCTTCCTCTTGGCAACGGGTGTTACGGCTTTGGATCTACCCATCTTTAGATCCACCACGTAAGGTCAATAGGTGGCTACACAAAATGATTTTTGGAAATTCCGTGTTTAAGCAAGTACTTTTAAAATTACTAAGGATCTATTGGAAAAAATTGTCAATCTGGTGGCCACCGATTGATTTAGATTCGTAATGAGAGTTGTCGCTGTATATGTCGTATTTAGTGCTATCGCTGCTATTTTCGTTACATCTGA